CCAGCATTGGCTAGTTTGCAGAACAGTGTCCACTGGCCTGTACGTGATGCATTGCCATGTCAGTCTACCAAAAGTCCAAGGTCATTACAACCTGCTGCATCCAGCTCCGCCGAAACTAGCACGCAGCAGATGCGTGGGAATCTGAGTCCTCGTAGAGAGGCGTGAGGGCTGGACAGAACGTTCGAGAGCATGCAGCTCTCTCGGTGGCGGAGCTCGGAGGGCTCACACCGCCCTTCCACAACACCACACCGAGCAGACGATGCTCACAGCCGCCGCGTCGGCTGCGCGCCACACCCATAGCCACGTGGGTCACCTCACGCAGCTTCCTCTGCGTGCCCCTCCGCTTCGCAGCTGAGCAGCTAGGCACAAACGGTGGTTAGACCTGCCCTTGGCCACACTGCCTGGGAGCGGCAGATGGGGGCTGAAGCCCAGCGCTCTCGCCCTTCACGCTAAGTGGCCTTCGGCAGTCGGTGGCTCGGCTAGGTCCACCCACATGGCCGCTTCGAGTCTTCCTCTAAGCCGCCCTGAGCCCCAGGCCTGCAGACGCTTTCTGCTCCGCAGTCGCACATCAGGAAGCACATTTTCATTCACACCTCGAGGCCCGGCACCACCGTCACTCCCTGCAGCTTCCCCGTCACCCCAGGTGTGCCAGCAGGAAGGCAGAGTGACGTGAGCGGCAAGCTCACTGTACCGGAGGCGGAAGCGGGAGGCAGCAGCTGTTCTGGGCCCAGCTTCGATGTTCACTGGCTTCAGATCATTTCACCTCTGTGAAAGGGTTTGGGCCGAGCTGCCTCTGGGAACGTGTTCTGTGCCGCGGCCTTTATCAGTGCGTTGTCTCATTGGCTCCTCGTCGTCATTCTGAGATGACCCGTCATCTCTACTAGTCGGGAGGAAGGTGCGATTCAGGGAAGGCAGGTCACTGAGTCAGCCTTTCCAGGGGCAGGGCCCAGACCTGAGTCCCAGCCTCAAAATTTTCGGCTTCAAAATTGTGTCTAGAGTTTCATTATTGACCATGTTAAAAATGTAAAAATCCATAATTCTCTGCATAGTCAAGATAGGCGAGCATCAGGGTCTTTTCTGGTTCTATAAAAAATAAGAATTGACAGATTTTATAGAGCTTTATGGATTTGAAACATAAAAGTAAGACTTCAC